CGACAAGGTTTTGTCATCATCAGATGACCTGATCACCTGATGATGACAAAACCTTGTCGAAACGTTTACATTTGCTGTCATGTTAAACTTATATTAAAGTTTTTCTTCATTACCCATTTAAGCCGTCACCAGCCATTATTAGTCTCAAAGTGGGTTCCTCGTCATCGAATCCTAATACGTTAGTTTATAACCAATTCATCTAGATATACACAACACAACAATTTAAATACAATATAACACAAATCTAATGTATCATAACTGATAACGAAACTTAAAACGCATTCCTAAAAACGTGTATACTGGTGTTATGTTTAACAGCCAGTAAAATCATCTGTGAATTTCCTATAAACTTCAAACATTCAATCCTGAAGACGATTGGATTAACTTGAATTTAAAGCCCAAGTCTGATTGCTTTATAGATGTCCCTCTTCAAGAATAGTCTGTACTGTATAAATCCTATATTTCCAAGCTACAGAGACAGGTCTGATTATTTCTTAAACCAATTAACGACTGTCAATTTTTTCTCTTTTACTTCTTTTTGATAAACGCAAGTTTCACTAAAAATATTTTGTACTCAGAAATTGTCGAGTTTGTCAGCTTTTTCCAAAAGACGTCGATTAAATTTTGCCAATTTTCTCGAAGAGATGTCGAGTACAGTTTGTCAATTTTTTTGAAGAAATGTCAGGTACAGTTTAACAGCTTTCTCGAAGAGAAGTCGAGTTCACTTTGCCAGATCCTTCGAAGAGGTGTCGAGTGAAGGTTGCCAGCATTCTCGAAGAGAGGTCGAATACAGTTTGCCAGCATTTTCAGAGATGTCAAGTAGAGTTCACCAGGTGTATTGACATATTTTTCTTCTTTTAAAAGTTCTTCTCATACCGCCCCCCTCCCAGTGGCACAGCGGTGTGTCTGCGGAGTTGCAACGCTAGAATCCGTGTTTCGATACCCGTGTTGGACAGAGCACAGATGGCCCATTGTGTAGCTTTGTGCTTAATTACAAACAAATCTTCTCGTAATATTTAAAGGACATTATGTTAACACTTAACAAAGCGAAGTGATGTAGCCACCAAACAATTGATGAAGAGTTTACTTATATTCTGTTTGTTACATAAATGTAGTTATGGTTGTCTATTATTTTTCTAGAAGACATATGCAATAAAAAGGGGAAGTTCGTTTTGTGGGATCAAAATTACCTATCATAATATCACATTGTGAAAGAAGTGAATAAACGTACTGAATACTATTGATGATTACTGTTATACATTATTGTAATTCAGTTAAACAAAACTATTGTTTGAACTTTCAAAATTAAAATTTTGTTTTACATTTCAGACAATAGTGAAATTGTCAATCAATCTATACAATTTCAAACAGTAACAATATCAAAAATCCGGGATTTCATGGGGTATCATAAATGACATTCTTCTATGTTTTAGTTCATTATACCACAATACAAAAATAATATACTGATTAACACAGAATAGTGTTGAATTTCGATTTTCGATCTCTTTTGATTACGTTTTGATTCTAGGTATTGTTCTCGTTTTCATTCTATTGTAGATATGTGACATCAAACACTTTTAACGTCACGCCCCTAATAGGCACAGAGCAGCAAATATCTGAAAATACTTTGAAATTTGTTGTTTTCAGTACAACACCTTTTTAATAGTTTCAAAGATCACACCTGCATTGAATTATTTAGTATAAAAATGAATGTCTTGATTTTATAGAATAAAAATATAAAAATATGCTAAGTTTTAACAATGCAATAGAAGAAATAGAATTAAGTCTAATAAACTTTAAAATAAAGATATAAGAAAGACAATATATATAAAGTGCTAATAAACAACAAAATCGTAAACAGATAATGCAACTGTCAGATGCTTAAAGGCGTCACTCTTACATTATCAAAAGCTGTGTTGTAAATAAAATGATTTTCTTAAGAGTTAGATACATGACTTGGTTAAACAATTTTATTGCTCAAATCCCTGAATTTGTTTTAACATTCTCAGGCCAGACTGTCAAGAGGCTTTAGTCACACAATTTATCCGGTTCAGCATTAATCAGCTTAGGTTTTAAAAGTCACTTTGCATCTTTCCTATCACCTGTTAGCGCTTCTTTTTATTTGTATGTTACAGTGGCGCCATCTTGATAATTGAGTGCCACGCCCATGCTCAGACTTTTATGGTAAAAGTCATGTCACCTCGAAGTAATAATTCTTCAAAATGATCATTTCTGGTCCGAAATGCCTATTTGACTTTTTTTTTTTTACTTATGTGTGTTTTAAGTATTCCAATAAGGCAATGCCAGGAAATCACACGTGTTTTTCGCAAATAATTCAAGGTCTTTAAAAAACCCTGATCCTTTGCAAACAACTAATATTAATTTTTACACCATCACCTGATTTTGATTTTCATTCAATGAATTTACTTATCATCATTTGCATGCAACCTACATAAATAACTATTTGTTATAATGGACACACACACACACAATAATTTTTTCTTTTGCATATTTCTGTTCTTCCATTGTTATTTGAAGGCTGAGTTTTCCACAAGTTTCAGTTATAACATACATAATGCTTGCCATCCAGACATGTTCTGTGTCCTGAAACAAATTCCTTCATGCAACATCGTCACAATATGACTTTATTTTTCTTCAAATTTATTCGTTCGACTTTTTATTTGTATATTGTCTTTTATTTCAACTTTAAAAGAGGTACACGTATTAAGGTGATTATTAACAATCCTGTATCAGAAACCTGTGTCTCAATGTTGTTAAAAATGTTACAGTAGATAAATACACGGGTAGATTATTAAGTCATGTTTCCCTAACAACAGTCCCACAAGGACAAATTATTAAATAATTTGTGCATATCTATTCCTTGTTATGACGACATTGATATCATTAACTGAAGAACATTTGTACATGACCACTCCTTGTCATGGCACCTTTGCTAACAAAAAACGATGAACATTTGTACAACACTATTCCTTGTGATGTTCCTCTTAGTCACATTAACTGGTAAACATTTGTACAACACTATTCCTTGTGATGTTCCTCTTAGTCACATTAACTGATGAACATTTGTACATGACTATTCCTTGTGATGACACCCTTAGTCATATTAACTGATGAACATTTATACACGACTATTCCTTGTGAGGACACCCTTAGTCACATTAACTGATGAACATTTGTACATGACTATTCCTTGTGATGACACCCTTAGTCATATTAACTGATGAACATTTGTACAAGACTATTCCGTGTGAGGACACCCTTAGTCACATCAACTGATGAACATTTGTACAAGACTATTCCGTGTGAGGACACCCTTAGTCACATCAACTGATGAACATTTGTACATGACTATTCCTTGTGATGATACCCTTGAGAGCATTATATTATGAACATTTTGAAATCTCATGGTCATCGCAATAACTCTCGAGAATTCTTTTATTCTCTGTATTCTGTAAGAGCATTTAATATAACAGATATTTGCTGTATAATTATTCAGTGTTATACGTTCTCTTTAAAGTTCAAAACTGGTATAAACAAAATCGAACAATATATCGAAAGAGACAAAAACTTTTTATTTTAATACGTTTGTTTCGTAGAGATATTTTATTTATTTGTTTTTAGGCACAGACCTGTACAATGCGCTGTCGAACCAGGATTTTATTGTCTTTAAACATACTGCTGACCCACCGAGGGTATTGAGAATATTGAAGGTGTAACATGTAGGAAGTATTGAGAATATCATCGTTTTTGTAACATATATAATCTATCTAAAATATGTTGGTAACCAGAAAAGCCAAAGTCATGCTAATTTTGCAAAAAAAGGTTGACGAAATACGTAATAGTGCTTGTAAGATTTAGTGCTATAAGCATGAAATTACGACGTTGAACATGATAAGGTGTATCTAATGACTCCCGACGCTTTATTCCAAAGATACTTTATTTTCTTGGCTATATTGCTATTTATAAATTTAGCAAGCTTTCACGTGAATGGCGTTATACTCACGCTACAGTAAAATGCGATGTTAAAGTAATTACACTTAATCCACCTTATAAGCAATATATTCTGAACGTTTAGACTGTTATTATCCTGAAAGAATGGACTACATTGGCTGCTTGAACCACTGGAATTTTGGGAAGTTTACTAAATAGGATAGTCTAATTACTCACCTGGACACTGTCCTTCGTCTTTCACTTTCACAGGGTAGCCCTCACATTGCGCGCGCTCTATCTCGCAAGGTGATTGGTAAGTTCGTCCATCTGTTCCACACACTATAGAAGGCTCTTCCCACTCACAGGAGATGTTACATTCAGGATTTTTATCTTCAGACAGAAGAGGAAGCTATATCACAAAATAATTAATTATGAAAACAGTGATTACCAATACAGAAAAGTGTATTTAAAAAGCATAGGAATAAAAATGATTTTTTAATCGGTTCATCCTTTGTTTTCACTGATATATATATATATATATATATATATAT